AAAAAGAGACGAACTCGCAGCGAGCGAAGGGCCCCAAGGCATTTCCCAACCAAGGGCGCGATTGTGCCGCCCCCCGCCCCCCTTCCCCGGGACACATCAAAGGACGAAGCGGCTCCGGGGGAGGGAGGGAGGGAGGGAGCAGCCCGAAAAATGCAGCCGAGGGCGAGCGAGGCAGCGGCGGGGCCCGTGGGGTTCGCGGGGCCCGGCCTGGCGCGAACTTGGGCCCCGGCGGCTCCGGCTGCGCGAGGGGCAGCGCGGCCGCCTGGGCCCGGCCCGCGCCTAGGCCCGAGGCCGCGCTTTTCCCGCCGCTTCTCCCCGCGCCTCGATTTTTTTTTCCCTTTTCTTTTTTCCTCCTTTTTTAAACTTCTCGTGGCGCGGGGAGCGGCAGCCAAATGGCTGCCCCGGGGAGGCGGCGGGTTTCACACGTGCGGCGCCGCGCGGGGGCCGCTGCTCCCCGGGGCTGCGCGACCGCCCAGGGGGTATTTACGAGTCCATAAGGCAGCCTGTAAAGCTCCACGCCGGCCCAGGGGCTGTTTCCACGTGCCCTTTTCTCAGAAACACAGGCCTAGGATTGCTTTAAAGGGCRTTTTAAAGACAAAACAGAAAACAAGAGTTTTCAGCCCCAAAAAACTACATATTTCTCTAACGGGCCTAGTCAGAGCAAGCAGGCCCGTGTGGTCTTGACGCTCCCCAGCAGGCCGCACTAACACCCTGTCTCCCTCCTTCCTACAGCGAGTCGGACGGCAACCCCAGCACGGAAGATGAATCCAGTAAGGGGCAGGAGGACCTGTCCCCGCACCCGCTCTCCAGCTCGTCCGATGGAGTTACCAGCCTCAGCCTTCCCGGCCACATGGAGCCCGTGTACATGCAGCAGCTTGGAAACACTAAAATAGCCTTGAGCTCATCTGGCGTCCTGTTGAATGGAAACCTCGTGCCTGCCAGTACCTCTCCCGTGTTCCTCAACGGTAGCTCTTTCCTCCAGGGACCCAACGGTGTCATCCTCAACGGACTCAGCGTGGGGGCTTCGCAAACGGTAACTCTGAATTCGCCCAAAACCACTGTCAGCAGCGTGAGCAACGGGGTGTCGATCACTGACATATTGTCGTCGTCTTCGGAAGATGTCAAGGACTTCAAACTCCTCCAGGCCTCGGTGCCTAACGCGACAGCAGCTACGTTCAGCCCCACGAACATCCCGGTGTCGTTCCCAGGATTGATACCCAGCGCTGAGGTGAAAAGGGAGAGCACTCAAACTGTTGCTTCCCAAGATGGAGGCTCTGTAGTTACTTTTACTGCTCCTGTCCAAATAAACCAGTATGGCATTGTCCAGATCCCCAATTCAGGAACAAATGGCCAGCTGCTGAACGGAAGCATTGGTTTTTCTTCTCTGCAGCTGCCTCCTGTTTCTGTGGCAGCTTCACAAGGTAAAAGTTTTGTTTGTTACACTGAAAGCTCCAAGGAAGAAGTGCGGCTGAGCACACTGTGCACCTCAAAACTTGTAATGCTTTTCCTGCAATGCACCCTCTTGGTCACAAAGACACACCATACATCAGATAGTACTTCTTGCCTTCATTTAGGTTCCTCCCTCCCTGTGTCATTCTGTGTAGGTTACACTCATAGGAGGGTTGCCACATGAGACASAGCTGACTTGCTTAAAGCAGAGGAGGATGTTCAGTGATTTACTTTTTTTTTTGTCCCCTACAGTTCTTTGATATTAGTTTTCACAAGTATTTATGATTTTTGCACACTTCAATAATTCAAACTATCCCCTCTTTACCACTGAATTCTTTTAATGAGAAGCTTTATAAAAAGAAAACTGCAGCAGCTGGAAATTGTTACCGTTGTTGTTCTTGTGGTGGTTGTTTTGTTTTTTTTCTAACCAACGCATTTCATAAAAATAAATTTTAAAATAACTATAGACACAACAAGAGGCCAAACAGTTATGCTCAGACATTTTTCTGTCCTATAATTAAGAATGATTAAACCAACAGGAAACAATAGAAATATGTAAATGCTTGTAGATATAAAATGCAAGGGTATTTGGATTAGACTGCCCTCAGTCCAAGGGGAATATGTCATCGCAGGTTCACATGCCAAGTCTACAGGCTCCTCCCCAAATTTGTGTTGGAGGTGGTTATAAAATATCAGACTGAAACTTCTGGCCAGTCAGGAAGAATCTCCTGTAAAGCAAATCCAGGTCTGGGTCATTATTTTGATGTAGGTCTGTTGTAAAGCACAACTCTGTTACTTATTAACTGCTGTATCTTTAGTTATGAAAATGATTAAACTTGAATGAATCCCTGTAGTTCAGCAGCTATGAATAACACAATGAAAATCAAGTCATGCTCCTGGTAACTTACTTGAATTAAAGGTGTATAGGGAGTTTAGTTTTAACAGAAAAAAAAATTTATATTTGGAAACACTAATGCTGTACAAAAACATTTTAAATGGGGAGCAAAAGTACATGGCCCTAAAAGGTGGCACTTGCTGTCACTGGAAATTAGTGGAATAGTAGTTTAACCAGATGAGAAAGATCAGATGTTTAATTTGAATACCACCTGTAATTAAAAGAGCCATTTAATCCACATGCTGCAGGCAAAAACTGGCAGCCAGCAAAGGTAGCAATGAAATTTCTGCGCCTTAAGTAGTGTGAGAGAGAATTAATTATATTTCAAAGTCCTGAGAAACATGAGCTATTGGCTGGACTTTTTGCCTAATGTTAAAAGTACCTATTTCTACTGGAGATTGATTTGTTGAGTGTCTAGTTTGATTATGTACGGAGAGAAAATACGTGTTGCTTTGACTTTTTTTTTGGGGGGGGGGCAGCTTTTTTAAATGTTGAGGGTTGCTGGCATAGTTTTTCAAGTGCAGTACATTGCAAGCTATTTTAAAGAAGCTACAGTAAACAATAGTTTGTTGCCAGGAAACTTTCAGTTGCCTCCCTTTATTCCTCTAGTTTAGACATACAACTAACATCTTTCCCAAAGTCACCATTGCTTAGTGGATCAATGAATAAGGAGTGACTATTTTGATAAGCATTCCCCAGCTTTGACATGCATTTTCAACGCTCTGAACATTTTCTATTATTATTAAAGAAAACCCCTGTTTAAGCCTCTTAAAACATTCTTTGAGAAGGAGAGATGCTTAAAAGGGGGCTTGCTCATCAAAGCCAGTTTCCTAGGTATAGAAATGACTATAAAGACACCTTACATGTCATGTCCAATAAAACCAACTTGGGATCTTGCCTATCCACTTCTTCTTGCCCTGGTTAGTTGTAGCACCACGGGAGCAGTTCTCAGGCTTCCTGGGAGCTTTGGCAGCTTCCATGTGGCTCTGCATGGAGTGGTGGACATGCTAGGGTTAGAATCTTGGAAAAAGGTGATAGGGAAAGGGGAAAGGCATTCAAGTATTTGTCTGGCTACATAGTGAGGCTGGTAGAAGCCCTAGGTTTTGAGCTTTTCTCTGCAGGTTTGCTCAGGTAGCTACTGCCCGGCTGCAGCACGTTTCATGTAATGTGCCTGCAGTTTCCCACACATAAGTCGTAGTCTGTCACTGAACTATCTTTTCGTGCTTCTATTCTTAGATAGAAATCGAGCAGTAACAACTAGTGAAGGCCAAAGCACACTCCTTTTAATCACATGGCTAGGGACTGTTTGCCCCTTCCCGAGACACTGAAAGATACTTAGTATACCATAACCTTTCCTTTTTCTTTCTAGAAGTAGCTTTTATCCACAGAAGCTTTTATTTCCTCATACCTAGTTTTCTGTCATCTGTTGCAAATGACACTCATCCATGTCATTTGATATTATCATATTACTCAAAATGAGACCAAAATGTCTTAACAAAAATGCCTGTGCAACTCCTGCCATCTCTAATCTGTATCTTTCTTCTTTCTTTCTTCCCTTTCTGCAGGTAACGTTTCAGTAAATCCTAGTACAACAGACGGAGGAACTTTTACAAGTGATTCCTCAACAGTGCAACAAGGCAAGGTTTTCTTCAGCCCTCTCACACCAAGTGCAGTGGTTTATACAGTTCCCAATTCAGGTCAGGCAGTAGGAACTGTTAAGCAAGAAGGACTGGAGAGAAGCCTTGTGTTTTCCCAGTTAATGCCAGTCAGTCAGAACACGCAACTAAATGTCAACATGTCTTCTGAGAACATATCTGGTGGAGGACTCCAGTCCCTGGCCTCCTCGCTGGTGAATGTAACTCCCTCGCATAATTTTTCCCTCACGCCACCAACTCTTTTAAATGCTGCAGAACTGAACTCTGGTATCTCGGAGAGCCAGCCCATGTCCTCACCCGTAACCAGTACCTCTGCTGTGATATCTATCAGCAACACTAACTATGCAACTCTTCAAAACTGTTCCCTCATCACCAGTCAGGATCTGCTGTCCATTTCTACAGCACAACCTGCGCTCGGCGAAATAGTTTCTACTGCTGGAGACCGTGTCAGCCATCCACCCACACAAGTGCACCCAGATTTTGTCAGAGAGCACAGGTTAGTTCTACAGGCCGTACCTGACGTCAAGGAGAATTTCTTACCTACTTCTGAGAGCAAGTCCACAGGCAACCTGCTGATGCTGGATACGAAATCCAAATATGTTATGAGTAACATGGTCGACACCGTCTGCGAAGAACTAGAAACGGATAAAAAGGAACTTGCCAAATTGCAGACAGTTCAAATGGATGAAGATATGCAAGACTTGTAATTTTTTTTTCTTGCTTTCTATTTTAAGAGTTAAATCTCTTGCTGAGGCCGTAACAAGCACCAAGTGATGATTTTTTTTTTTTTTTTTCATTTGAAGAAAACAGAAGGACATTTAAGTGGTCTGAGTTAACGTACAGAGGAATCTCCAGCAACGGAATCAGGTTGCCACACTTGGCTTGCATGCAGTATTCTCTTTTAAGCAGATTAAAAGAGAAGCAAACGCCAGGGAAACTACCAAGCAAATGGGTACAGTTTTGGCTAACTGGTATTCCCTTGCTAATTAACTAGCCTCTCCATAGCACAACACGCTCTCGACAGTAAGTATACACTCCTAATGATAAATAGGAAACAGAACTCTTGCTCCAGAAAGGTAGAAACGATGCAGTCTTTTTTTGCTGTTTACTTCTAGTCCATGGGCATTGAAAAGTTTTTAAGGAACTCTAGACGATACCTCACAGGCTACTTTTATATTGTTTGAGGTTAAGAAACAAAACACAATCACAAATGGTACTGTTACTGGTTTGTTGGGATTTTTTTTTGCAGCAGACTTGTATTCATACCAAAAATATTGCATCAAACACTTGCAGGTTGCTAAATGCTATAGCTAGCATTTTGTTAGTGCAGCAGAAGCAGCATCATTTGAAACTCTAATTATGCAACTCAGAAGCTTTCCCTTGAGTATGAATGTAAATATTGTTTCAGTTCTTATAAAGGAGACTTTTTTAAAATTAGTACAATGGATTTTATTTATGGTTTATGTTCCCTTTCACTTTAGACACAATGCATTGAAAAGGAAAACGTTTTCTGGCTGTTTTAATTTATTTTTATTGTTTGAGCAGGAAGTAAGCGTAGTTATTTCTGACAAGGTTTTACTTTTTTTTGTAGTTTTTCAAGCAATAGACTGTAAAAGTAAAGAGTTAATCACACTGAAATTAGAAAATGAACTCGCAGTCGCAAACCCACAAGGTTCCTGTCTTTACCCTCTGTCTTTGTGTTCAGGGGTTTTTTGTTTGTTTTGTTAGTAATTTGCAAATTAGTTGAACCTTTTGTGTATTTTTTACGAAATTCCATGTGCCTTTCTTCCTAGTGGCCTTATCTTTGTTACTAAAGCACAGTGSCAGGAGGAATAAAAACACTGATTTGCAAATATCCGTCCTCAGGGCTCCGACCGATGCCCCGCTCTTGTGAGTAGACCTCAGTGCAAGGCACGAGTAAGAAGGGTTGGTGTTTTGATCTTATGGGTGGCATTTGGGCCAAGGAGGAGACCCGTGAGCACCCTGTAAACCCTGCAGAAGGAGCAGGCAGAGCAGCAGTGCCCAGGGGACAATCTTGGCTTCAGCCTCAGGCACGTGGACTGCACAGGGATGGGAGCCCCAAGTTTCCACGGATCCGTGTGCCAGGCCTTCGGCCCCAGCTCCCGCAGGCCGGCCCCAGTCCAGCAGTGCACTTAAGCTTGGATTTATATATCACAGAATCATTAAGGTCGGAAGGGACCTTTGGATATCCTCCCAGAAGAGCAGTGCAGGGGCAGCCACTGGGAATGCAGCTGCCCTGGAGGTGTGGGAGCAGTTGCTCCTGTGCCACCATGGGAGGGTCCCTCTCCCTTCAGCCTCCTGTTCCCAGCAGGGACAGCACAACCAGGCCAGCCCAGGGCAGGCGGAGCAGGTCTTACCTTTCCTCYAGAGAAATTTTTGTAGCATGGAAAAGCACATCCTTAAGCTTTAAAATAATAATAATAATGCAGATGTATAAAAGCGAGATGCTGTTAATCTTTGTGTTTTGGGTTTTTTTTGTTTTGTTTTGTTTTTACTCTAATGTGAACATGTACAGTACCTAAAGCATGTATTCATCCTCATACAGGGCCAGGTTTGAAGCCTTTGGAAGAAGATGGGAAAGGTTTCCATAAACTTCCATTGGCTCTGAATCAGGCCCGGGACAAAAAACACTCATAAAGGACAAAATAATTGGACAGGGAAGAGAGTAGAGGCAGCATGTCCCAGTCTGCTTCTGTGTTGATTATTAAGGGGTTCTGTGAAAAGCCTGGAAGGAGTGAAGGTTTCTTCTGCGCGGCCTGGACGTCCTCACTGTTGTTTTGCACTATATGGGACGCAGCTCGTTGGCAAGTGTTGGGTGCCAGCTCGAAGCTGGGCTCTGCTGGCAGGCGCTGGAGGCCGTGCTGCAAGGAGAGGGCCGGGCAGGGCTGAGGGTTGCACTTGGAGCTAGAAGCCTTTGCTGGTGCTGTCCCCGTAGCAGCAGCCCCTATGCGCGTGCCAGACGGTTAAGGCAAGTGTTTTAAATGGAGATTATTGCAGGCAGGAGCTTGAACTTGTGGTCTCCTTGCACAAGGTGCCCAGCATGACGCAGACAGGAGCAGGGGAGCCTGGAGGTCCCCTCTCTGCTCTGGTTTGTCCAGTTGTTAGGGCTTTGCTTGTTCCAGGGTCGGCAGTTGACTTAGCACCCACAAAACCATGACGATGGTAGCAGCGACTGCATCCGCTTTGCATGACTTTGCTCAGCTCTTCGGGAGTTTAAAAGTGCCCTGTATCTTAGTCATATTAACAGAGAGTATGTGCATGGAGCGGGAGCTGTGCATGGCTCTGGAGGAGTAACGTTTGCCCTGCAAAGCTCAGACTATTTTTAGAGGGGAGCTAGAAATATCTCAGAGCGCTCGGTTGTCGAAGCAATCTGATCTCCTAACTGAATGACTGTGGTGTTACGTCCTCCCTACGTGTTACTTTTTCTTTTTCTCCCTTGCGCTCATTCGGTTATGGAGGCTCTGAACTCTGTGGCTTTGTGGCACGGTTGGTGCAAAAACCACGTGTGCAGTTAGGGTGCTGTGTCTAGGAGCACCTCATACTTCCAAGAGGAGATTCCTGCTCGCGAGCRGGAGCGGAGGATGTACATAAAAGCAGTGGTTTGGGACAAAGTAAGATTAATCTATTCTAGTCTTCCAGATATCAAGTAACTTATTTTATTAATATGTTTTATTCCTTTCTTTCTGCCATTGAAAGTAAGTGTCATTCCCTCCAGATAACGTAGTTATAACCTCAAGTTTTCTGCAGGTACATATGCACAATATAAAGAGTCATTGCACGGTACAGTGTTTTTTAAAGTAGATATTTAAATAGTAGTTTTACTCCTACTGTAAGAGAAGGGTCAGTTTTTATTATGTGGCCCTGAAGCAAGCAGGCAAACTGCTCTAATTACACAGTACACAGAGCCCTGCAAAGCATCCGGGGCCGGATCTTCAGCTGCTGTAAATAAGGCATCGCTCCCCTCRCTCCCAACTGAGGATTTTAGATGATCTCTAGAGGATAGGGATGCTCATCTCCCACACATATGAGTGGCAGTGAGTGTCCAAGTCCCACAGACAGTCCTTATTGTCACGTTTTATTGTTTGAATGGAAGATATGTCTATCCAACAGGAAAAAAAGATGCAAAACTCCTTCTTTTCCCTCCCCTCTGTTAAGGATGTGAATAAATGATCATTTCAACTTCACATATGTTTGTAAGTCCACTGGAAATCTGACAGGAAATATTGCCAAATTCTACTACCTTTTTTGGTCCCAGATTCAGTGTTGAAAAATATGCCTGAAGGTTAAGCAGATTCCTTCCAAGAACAAGCATTAAAAAAGAATGTTCTTTAATAGTTTTAATTGAAGCTGCCTTTATTTCATTCAGAGTTCTGCTGAGAGTCAGAAAAATACTCAACTAAATGCTCTGTGTGGACTATTTGTAACATTATTCCTGTGGTCTTCCTAAAAGGACATTTCAGCCGCGTAAATCATGGAGGTCGATTGGCCAGGTCCTCAACTGGGATAAACTACCACAGTTTTATTGGCTTTAATGTCCTTTCACACCAACTGAGAATATGGTCCATTCATTTCACTGGAGCTGAACCAGGACCAGGCTTGTTCCAGGGCACTGCAGCAGCGTGAACCAGTCCTCAAGGCGGATACTCCGTTATATATCTGAACAATATTCTCTGGAGCACATCCCCCTTTCCATTTGTGGCTGTGCCCTGCCAGGGGATCCAGGAAGCTGCTTCCCCCAGAAGGAAGGCTGGAACCAGCCTTAGTGTTGCGGTTCTCAGGCCAGGATTAATGGGAATTGGGTAAGGTTCTGGCTTCARACATGGAACCAGCTCAGTGACAGACTTCAGCTGAACCACGCAGGGCAGAATTTAGCCCCACGTGCCCAGGGCCTTTCCTGTACGTAGATTTCCAGTGCCTGTGCACCTTCCTTCCCAAGGACAGACGAGCAACCCCCAGCGTTCACCCCGCTGCTCTGCTTACCAAATAAGTGTGCAGAACTCCCAGGGCATGAATCATGTAGCAATCGTGGTCAGGAGGCATCTCAAATCATAAGAATAATGATATATTTTTRAACTCCGATTACAAAGCAATGGTATTTTACAAGCAAGACCTAAAGTCTTCCTGTACCTCCTAGCAGTTACTATCTTGAAGGATATTTTATACCTGACGTGTACGTTTCATATAATTCAAAAGTAGCTTCTTACATTTCTGAACTCAAGAAGGGGATGGATCTTCCGACTTCCAGGATTCACATTCAGAGGATGTTTGTTCTTTTGCTGCATGTACTGTTTGTCCAGAACGAACCAGTTATTTCTGTGATAAGGGTTTATTGTGCCTTACAACAAATATGGAATCTAAACAGAATGTATGCATTAGAGGAGGGAATAATCAGAAGTCTTTACTGCACTGTTAGGTGATGCCTACCCAGAGTGTCATCAAACATATCTGTGCTTAATTACCCAACCAAAGAGATCTAAAGTCTGTATGTTTGTTGTACTGTAATAGGGGTTTGTGCCTGGACAATTAAGTGTTTTATTTGTATTCTGAGATGATGTGAACTTATTTTTCTAAACACTATACTGAATAAACTTTATATTTATACACATCTTGTGCACATAGTTGTATTTCTGTGTTGTTTGTGAATGCTTTAAATTGCATGTTGGAAAAGCAATGCAGAAGTTCTGTGTTTAAGGACCCATT